AAACAAAACAAGACTTAGATTTGGGTCTGATCCAACCTGCAGCTGCTGCTCACCTGTGTTTTAATCAGGTGAGTCATCTTCCTCCTCCATCAGATGATTTCAAGCCTGATTCCAGTCCTCCAGTTGGATGTTGTCGCAGTAGCGGGCCAATGGAGGTCAAAAGCCCCCCTGTTGGTGCAGGTAAACAAAACGAGACAGACAAAAGTATAATTTACATTACAATACCTCCGCTGCTTGTAGAGAGCAAAAGTGACAACCTTACAGTGGAGACAAAAAACGTAGAGGTAAGTGATGCTCCAAACAAGGCCAGTGACGACACTGGTTGTCCTGCTCCGGCCAAACGACGCAGAGGTAGGCCTCCGAAAAAAAGGCGGGCGAATTCACAAACACCTTCAGCGAAACGGGCCTCGTCCGATGACAAGAGCCCCGTTCGGTTCTCAACCTGCGGCCTCAATTCGACAAAGTCTGAAGGAGAGGCGTACACGTCTCGACCGCTGACGCGAGGCTCACTGGGAAAGGACTTCCCCAGTGCCAAGAAACGCTCCTGGATAGACGTGGAGAAGGAGCTGGAACCTGACATGGAATATGCATGAACTGCAAACAGATGGTCGCGACCTCTGCCTTACACCTCACATGTGGAAACAAAACGTCTTCCTCTCAGAACCGGAGCATTTTATCTGCCTTTCTCTCCTGTTTCTTGGTGTTGAGAATCAAATGACTGACTGAAAGCTTCACTTTATGTGCCTGTTTGAAAAACCAAAGGATCATGGGTGAGATCGTCTACTCAGTGCTGCTCTTCTCTTATTTTTATGTTAAAACAAACGTACTGGGCTTCTTTCATACTGTGTCAAAAGGCAGAAGATAAAATGGCGTTACGTGACCTGCTGAATGTACGAATGAAGTCTGGGAGATGCCACACATTTTGTCAAGTTTTGTACGTGTGTCAGGTTCTTGACATTTTAGTCAAATTATTGTGCTTAAAGCCGTTGATTTATTTTATGCAAAAAACAGAATCACTGTAGGGACTGAGTGATTGATGCTAAACCTCACACTGCTCCAAGCCTCAAATGTTTTTCCTTGTTTGTGACGTTCCAACAATAATTGCCCGTTCTGTCTCCAAACAATGAAAAATGACTTGTAGTTGCACTTTAAACCATCCACCGACTCTCAGATCCTTTTTTAATAAACATTACTGAGCAGTCATTTGTACTGGTACTGAAGTAAAACTTATCCATTTACACAGTTTATACGTTGCAAACAATAATAAAAAAAAAATACCTATGTCGTATTTGCATTAAAAAATTATGAAGTTTTGGGCTTTTATCACATGAAATGATTTTCTGTGGGAGTATGATTTTTGAAACACTGAGTTTTATAAATAAAATGTCTTGTAAAAAAATTACTGGTAGACTGTTTTTCTAGACAAGTGGTAAGTTTGTCATAGTTTTGAACAAATTGTTAAAAAAAACTTTTAAGCAAATTTTTTATCTGCTATGGTTTGAACCGTCTTTACCCAAGTAATCACTGTACAATAAACACCTTTTGAAGTTAACAGAAAATAACTTGAGTGTGTGCTGTTTCAATGTTCCTGTACAGGTTGACATTTAGAGCAAACATCTTGACTCACTGAGACCAACTCAACGCCTTAAAAAACTAAAAATGCTCTTTTTCCATTTTGATTTCATCAGTGAGACAGTTTTGCTGTTGAGACCAGCAGTTTAGGAGTTGTCCTGTTAACATACTGGTAAGCTGTATGTCCCTCCAAATACTTGAACCCTAACCTGTAAAACAGAAACTTTTAAAATTCTCTTGTGGAACAAGCTGAGTCCTGTTTCTCTCACCTTCAGAAGTTTTAAGATACAAACTGTAGTTTTCACATAGTGACTACTTGAGGCTTACTTTTCAGTCTGTTTCTGTCTCGAGTGCTAGCATGGCTTTGGCATGTAAACAGCAAAGTGGTAAACGTAACGTCTCATAAAATGGTGTCATCTAATGCCATCGGGGGTTATTTTTTGTGGTGGCAACATCAACTTTTATTCTTGGGTCTTTTACACATACTGTAATTTCTGGACTATTGAGCGCACCTGAATATAAGCCGCGTCCGCTAAATTTAACAAGATAACTTAAATTTTACATAAATAGGCCACACTTGTCTATAAGCAGAGGGTGTTCACGTTGTAACATTTACACAAATATATATATATATTTAACTTTTAATTAAATGCGTACCGGTAACGTGTACAAATGCAGTAAATTTTTTTTTTTCTGAACAGTATATATATATATATATATATATATATATATAATTTTTTTTATGTCTATCAGGAAGTCATTGATCGCTACCCCCCAAGAGAGATGTATATTGAGCAGCTCTGTGTGTGACGAAGCTAAATGTTTTGGTGGCATGAAGCTCGTTAGCCCATTAAAAAAAATCCTTAAATTGGCTGTAGCATTGTATAATCTGTGGTGTTCAAAACGTGAAAAAAGTTGTGATTTATAGTCCGGAAATGATGGTGCATCCGTCATCTTTACCCGCTTCTTCCTTTTCGGGTCACAGGAGTCACTGGTGCCCATGTCCAGCATCACTGCAAGAGGGGAGGGACACTCTGGACAGGTCTACAGTCCATCACAGGGACAAATGAGACAGCCATTCACTCACTCACACCTAGAGACAATTCAGTTACCAATCAGCTTATGTAGTACCTGGAGAAAACCCACGCATGCACGGAGAGAACATGCAAACGGAGAACATGCAAACCACCTAGAAAGGCCCCCCAGCCAGGATTTGATCATTTGGCCACCTCTCTGAGAGGCAACAGCTCTACCAACTGCACCACCGTGCTGCCACTTTTACAATTTATATATTAAAATACAGCCTTGTCTATTTTTGAAATGATTTTTGTCTCTGGAGTTTTTGGACGGTAACTGCATTGACACCCTTAATGTATTTTTTAAAATGTTCTAGATGTATAAATGCTAAATTAGCCTTAGATTAAAAAAAAAAATTAAATTACAGTACAATTACAGCCAGAAACAAAGTGTTTATTGTAGTGCAGGATTACTTTTATTGAAAGGGGGAGGAGTGTAAACGTTTGAAGGACTTCCTGTGGTGTTCTGTGGAGCACCTCGGTGGTCTCAGTCTACGACTGAAGATGCTGCGGTAAGAGTCCAGGGTGTCATGCAGGGGGTGTGACGTGTTGTTCAGGATCTGGAGCAGTTTCCTCAGCATCCTCTGCTCAGACACCTCTGTCAGAGACTGCAGTTCAACTCCCAGAACTGCACCAGCTCTCTGGATGAGTTTATTGAGTCTCTTGGCATCATCTTTCTTCACCCTGCTGCCCCAGCACACCACAGCGTAGAAGACAACACTGGAGACCACCAAGTGGTAAAACATCTGCAGCATGGTCCTGCAGACGTTAAAGGACCCGAGTCTCCTCAGAAGAAAAAGGCGACTGCCTTTTCTTGTAGAGGGTGTTGGTGTTAGCTGTCCAGTCCAGTTTAGGTACTTGTAGCAGTCCACAGTGTCCACCTTAGTACCCTTGATGTTGAGTTGCAGGTTGTTCTGTCCACAACACTCCACAAAACTGTCCACAACATCTCTGTAGTCAGCTTCCTGGTCATCAGCACAGAAGTCTGTTGGAGTCGGCCTCCCCACCATCACAGACATCTACACCTCCAGATGCTGGAAGAGGGCCACCTGCATCATGAAGGACCCCACTCACCCAGCACACACACCGTTTGTCCCACTCCCCTCAGGAAGGAGGTTAAGGAGCATTACGTGTAGAAAGACTGAGGGGCCATTTACACGGCACATATGAGTGAAACCGCAGCTTCTGCCCTGAAGCTGTTCGACTCATGAATCTCTAACCAGGATAATCACTGTGAAAAATCACATTTTGTTGCTGCTGATCTGTTTCATGTTGCTGATCTGTTTCAATGTTGCTGCTGATCTGTTTCATGTTGCTGCTGATCTGTTTCAATGTTGCTGCTGATCTGTTTCATGTTGCTGCTGATCTGTTTCGATGTTGCTGCTGATCTGTTTCGTGTTGCTGCTGATCTGTTGCAATGTTTCTAGTGTTCATTCGTGCTCATCTGTTTGTTTTTATGTATTAGTGCTTAACGTATTTTTAGTTAACGTTTTTCTTAGTTCATATCTTAGATCTTATTACTGGTTTTCTTTTACATTTTATTGTTGGATGTAACTGGGACCATGCTACACAATTTCCTTCCACCACATGTACCACATGTGGTGTGAATGACAAATAATCTCTGACTTTCAGATTATTTGAAACAATGTGGAGCTGAGAGTAGTTTTAGTTTCTAGAATTTTGCAACTTATAATTGAGTAAACTTGTAGGTTTTAAATATCATTTTACTTTTATCTTTATTGCTAGCCTTTTGCAACTTTTAGCCATTAGTTGCATTTAACTAGCATTTTTGCTAGTATTAGGTTTTACTTAGCCTTTTGCCACCACAAGCTTCTAGCTGGTTTTTAAGATTTCTAGTTAGCATTTTGCTCTTTGTATATTTTATCTAGAGTTGTGCTTCTTTAACAGCTCAGTCATTTAGCTCTCAGTGGTGTGTTAGCTGGCTCACACCAGTCCCGAGTCATTTGAACAGTTTGAAAACAGCTGAGTGTAAAATATAAAATAGTCAAAATGGCTTCAGTTTAGGCAAATAGTGCTATTAACATAGAGCTGATGAGATAAGAGAGCCAGACACCCCCTCTCAGCTGCAGGACTCTGTAATCCCATCATTAGATCAAAATGATTGATTTAATCACGAGCCGGCGCAGTGACGTCACACGGAGGCACGTTTTATTTCTCTGCCGCCGCCAGACAGGACAGAAGCCGGAGCGGCAGGAGAGGAGTTACTACTCAGCAGGTAATAGTTGGACTTTTTAAACCTCCCGCTCTCTCTGGAGGAGGTTCAGCTCGGTGTTGGTGGACCAGCAGCCGCGGACAGACGTCCTCCTCCGGGTCCTGGTCCCTGAAGACAAGATGCCAGGAGACGGGTTCACCATCAGGAGCCGCATCAGGAACCTGCTGCGGTCTCCATCAGTCAGGAGCAAAAAGAGCTGCGGAGACTGCCCGAGCAGGAAGGTAGGGTTTATAAAGCTGTCCTAAAGTTAGTCCAAAACAGGTGGAGGGTTTATAAAACTGTCCTAAAGTTAGTCCAAAACAGGTGGAGGGTTTATAAAGCCTTCCTAAAGTTAGTCCAAAACAGGTGGAGGGTTTATAAAACTGTCCTAAAGTTAGTCCAAAACAGGTGGAGGGTTTATAAAACTGTCCTAAAGTTAGTCCAAA